GTTACTCTTGTCTTGTAAATTTTCATTGCTTTGTCACCTATGCAAAAAATACATAAAAACAATTAGTTGCAAAATAATATTATGTACATGACAAATAAAATATCAAGAAAAAAACTCACAATTTCTGTGGTGCTCCTTCCACTAGCCATGCCAACCACGGCTCTCTCCAAGCTTCCCTTCCATAAAGTGCATGCTTTGTTGATAGTCTGCCACCGATTGTAAACACCAGCATCATCCCTCCCGCCGCTGTAAAAGTTTTCATGAAACTTTTCAATGATTTTATCCCACAAAACCTTTTTATTTTGATTTGTGCCAACTGCACCATCTTCATTAACAGAAACCCATGCCAAGCATAAAGCAACATCTTCCTCACAGGTCCAATTACAACCTCTAATATACTCTCGTACCATGTTGAACAATTTGGAAATGGAAAGAAATTGTAGAAAGAAAAATTGGAAGAATTGTAGGAGAAAATTGAGTTTTGTGTGGATGTTTGAAAAAATACATAGGTATTTATAGAGTTTTTGGGTGAATTTTGAGTTAAATAATTTTTTTTAATTATTTTAGCCGTTGGATTTAAATTTGGGTCGTTAGATTTTTTTTTTTTTTTTTTTACAATTAGATTTGATTATATTCGATCTTAGCCATTGGATTCAATGTATTTTAAAATAACATTTTAAAAAAAAAAAATTGAATCTAGACCGTTGGATCAACCAACGGTCCAAAAATGCCAGCCGTTGGGCTCTGGGTTGTGGCCAACAGCAGCCCTGACAGTGCCCCCCCTGTCGGGCCCTGAAGGCTCACGGGCCATGTGGGGTGAGTGGGCGAGTGAACGGGTCGAGAGTGGGGTAATTTTGGGCGAGTCCACGCGTTTGTGGGCTAATTCTCAGGGGGTATTTGGTCTTAGTTTGGCATTTGGCCTGGGTTGGGTTGTGTTTGGGGAGGGAATAAGTGAGGTATTTTGACTTTTAACCGAGAGTTGGGTGTAGTCTAATTAATTAGTAGCTTGCCATTAAATATTCATGTCCTCACTTTCTCCAAGTGAACAAACATGCATTCAACCAATTGTACCACCCAATCAGAAAGCATTGAGTGCTACCCGAACATCCGTCAATTTGCACTCCTTTTTGGTTGGCTCCCAGCCCTAGCGTTACGTAATCCAATCAGCGAATGTGCCCTCATTCCTCATCAGTTCTCATCATCTTTGCCCATGTGTGTCGCACGGCGCTAAAAACTTAGCCACCATCAAAAGGTATAATTGGTTTGTATTTCTACTATGAATATATGGTAGGGTACATATATATGGATTCGTATGTGTGTAATTTTTATCTAGCAATCTATAGAAAAATAAAATTTATATCTAGGCAAGACGCCATTGATCATGTCATGCACAGGCTGTAGTACGGTAGTCACAGAAAATGGCATCAATAACGGACTCCGGGAACTGTGGACCTTAATTTGTGACTTATGAAACGTCTAAGGAAAGCACTTGATTAATGATGCTGCTTCACATGCCGTTGTTTCACACTTGACATTATTTGTAAATAATGTTTTATTTTGTTGGACAAATAAAAAGAGAATGATGTTTAATTTACTCAACAAACAACATTATTAACAAACCCTAATTATTCAACTATATACACTGCAAGCATAATTGCGCATAGTCTGCTTGTTCTAGAGTTTTCAGAAGCACGCAGGCCAGGTTGAAACCAAATTCTCTCTCTCTCTCTCTCTCTCTCTCTCTCTCTCTCTCTCTCTCACGCGCGCGCGCGCATATATGCAGGCCAGCCGATATAAAATACAATGGATACATGCCTTTTTTATAGTTTGTTCTTTTATCTTAGGTGACGCAACAAAAAAGGTATAAGAACCCAGCACGTCAACCTTGGTCAGAAAACAAGCACTCCCTTCCTGTTTCTCTGGTGAGTCCACATCCCAAGCATTCTCTCTCTCTCTCTCTCTCCAACTATGAGTCGATGAGAGCACGCTCAATGATGTTTTTCTCATTGCTTAAAAGGGAGTTCGATGTTTGACTTCAACTTAAGTAAGAGTAGATGCTCATTTAGTTAGCTAGGTCCATATATTACATGTAGTAACCATCTATCCTTTTATATCTACATATATTCATTCTTGTTACTATATCCCAATATATCACTCATTATTACATCCAGTAGTACTACTCTAAAAAAAGAAGCTACTTTGTCTTGTTTTATTGCTATTTAAATCCCTCCCGTCCCACACCAGCTAAAATTTAAAGTAAACAGAGCGGGTTCATCAAGTCTAAATCTGCAAGACTTGTTGCTCAACCTGCTGCTGGCTGGCCGGGAAGCTGAGGCGGTAGACAATCAATACCTAAATTTATAAGCACCGCCGTGCTGCATATGCATGTTTAAAAGTTTTCTGTTATTAAGGGAACCACACTTGTTCAAGAATAGCTTCTGCTGCTCGATCGAGTCATCTTTTTGCAAGGTATGCAAAGTAGAAAAATTAGTCTCTTTGTTATGACATGCAAATTCTAATTATAACCTTTATTTCAACATATTTATATATAGCTTTATTTTTCTTCTGATCATTGACCATTACATATATATGGTTGCAAATATAGCACAAAAACCGCCATATTCCTTTCTGTCTAGTAATTGCAATTCTTCCAAATGTGTGTGCTACAATCAGAAAGGAAACCATAAATTCAGTTTTTATTCCAAAAACTACATATACTGTTGGTAAGAGCCCTTGGGGATTGTAAGAGTATAGTTCACCAGGGAAAGTTAGTGGCTTTGATACAAACTTACCTTTGCTATTCATTCATGGAAGATCAGAAAAGATTTCTCTTCAAGCCTTTATTCGCCTCACCAAACGGAAGAATGAAACAGCTCACAATAAGGTGTTCAATACAAAGCCTCCCTTTAAATAAGCGCTAACCAGTTAGTAATATTTTTTGTGCTAAACAATTGCTTGGGACTACTATATATATATGATATCCTATGATCTGAACCGTTCATAATTCAGGTTCTCATTGAAACATCTCCTGCGAAGGGTCACACAAATTGTAAGGTCATTTGGTTATTTATAAAATATAGTTAGCTATATATAACTTTAACCATCCTGATTTAAAAGTGTACTAAATATAGATTCATTTAACAAAGTCTCAATCATGCATGGTTTATAGCTGCTGACTTGTGCTGCTGAGTGGACCGTGATCTTTCAGCTGCTGTGCATATGATGTCCCAAATTACTTATGCTTTTCCACGACCTCCCTTCCACATGGCGTGCATGATATATAAGTGCTAAGTTAAAGCACAAAACTCGCTGGACATCTACCTTCTGGGTTATGATCCTTTTGTTTTCTCTTTCAGTTGTGCAAACTACACAACAGCTCCGACCGGCCTTGTTGAAATACGATTAGAAAAGCATTCTCTAATCATTGTATGTCACAAACAATTAAGGCAATCTGTTAACTAAGAACTATCCTTTCAATTAATGTCCAATCGTAAGTAATAGCTATATGAGCATGATCATGTTCTTTCCACAGAATGAAATTGTCATTTTCAAAAATCTCTCAGGAGATATTAAAAGTGCTAGCTGTTCATCTAGTCTGAAACAGTAAACATTGCGTAGCAACCTCTCTCTCAAAAGGGCAGCTATTGACTAGCTAGTACCAAGTATATCAACACCATGTCAGATACCGTAAATTGTTGTCGTGTACCAAACAATTTCTTTTCATGCATTCGTGGTAAAGTGGTACACATTCAGCTTCAACATATGTACTCATGCCACCTGCCCTATATACATGATCACAATTAATACAAGCTGACTTCAAGTACAGTATATCTGATCAAGAAGATTGTAGGGAGTTTTACTTACTAAAGTAGCATTCCAAACAGTAGCCATGTGAAATAAGGCAAAATACATTCAACAAATATTGCAGTCCACATACTATATATAGGGAGTTAGGCTGTGCAACGTCAAAAGGGTCCTGATGTAGTGGGATCGTTTGGATTGTTACGACCTCTAGCAAATGGTTTGAAATTGATTCACTAAGTTATTTTATAATTAAACATATAACTGGTCACCCTAGTTGTCCTCTATTCATCAACACAAAAAGTCACAAATTTAAAGTCGAATAGGTAAAATTAACACCATAATTGTGTTTTCTTATGTACAGCATCGATCCCTTTAAAGTGTACCTCCTACGATTAGTTAGTATCATGTAGTGGCTAACAGTTACTGTAATATTCATGTTCTTGATCATTTCCAGAGATCAATTTGGCAACTAGAGGTTGATGTTGAGGCGTAGTACTCCTGTCCATTATTATTATAGTCTGGCCTTCTGGAAGCTTCATTGGCAAGCATATTAATGTGTTCAGCCACATGAAATGTTTCTTGTGCATTGGAGTAATTTGTGACTTCCTTGGAAGCATCTTGCTGGTCATGGCTGAGCTGTGATGCAACATACTTGTCAAGGGCTCGCCAATCCTTCACTTGATCAACAACTTGTAGATAATCAGTGTTGTTGTAATGCATATGTCCTGATGACGACGCAGATGAGTTGAAAGGATTTTGCGGGCAGAAGTAATGCAATTGCTCCTCTTGTGTGAGTATGGAAGACTGCATGACATAATTACCATATGGGGTAGCTGGCTGATGACGAACTTTGGGGCTTTCCAATTGAGGGAGCTGGAGAAAAGAGTCATGATGATGATGTGGCATGTTGTACTGCAAATCAAGCTCTGGCTTGCATTGTGAATAGTGTAGCTGCTGCTGATATTGTGATGATACGTAAGTGTGGGAAATTGATGTTCTTGGAGAGTTATCAAGTTGTTGCATGAATGGGACTTGGTCATAGCAATTTGGTGACTCGTAATCTCCCATTCTCCTCACTGTTGGCAATTTTTTCTTGAACACTCTACACACAACCCATCCTTCTTCCTGCATGGTGCAATCATATAGGAATATTTGGTGCTTTTATGGCAAAGGAACATATATAATTGTGAAGGCGCATAAATTCATCGATCCTGTTCGATAAAAGAAAGTACAGCGCATGCATGGTATGAGCAGTAACAAACCAATACTTGATTGTCTTAATTTTTGCTTAAATTTCTAGATATGCATGGAAGGAATAAGTAAAAGCTTGAAATGTAGTTGTATAAATTGATACGCTTAGCTCAGATACCATATTCTATACCAAATATAAACTGAAGTTATTCGGGGGAAAGGGTCAATAGATATGTAACTATATCTATATGTTCTAAAGTATATTAGGCACAATCGATGTACGTAGGACTAATGCACAACATGTGACATGTAATAAGCTCATAGCTTAAAACAAAAAACAAAACTTAATATGTACTTGCCTGAGGAGTTCCATTTTCACTAGTTTCTAGTCGATATTCATGCATGATCCAATCTGACTTCTGTCCATTTGGAGCACGGCCTTTGTAGAAGACTAAAGTCTTTCTCATGCCAACAAGGAATTTTCCTCTGTAAATAGCCTTATCTCTTCCTGTAGCTTTCCAAAACCCGGCTTTTGTTGCCCTATTTGATCGATGTCCGGTAGGGTACTTCTTATCTTTATGGTTAAAGAAGTACCATTCATTCTGATCACCACTTCCTATTTTGCACAAATCTGTCCAAATCAATATTATAATGGTGAACATGAACAGTGGATAATAAATCAAGTTCGTCTAGTATAACCAAACCATGAATTAATTAGTTAGTACCTTCAAGATCCCATGGCTCAATCTTATAGAGATCAACATCTCTGACGACATCAAAATCAATTGGTTTCGAAGCAGTCTTCTTTCTAAGATAATAATCAACAAGTTCTTCATCTGTGGGATGGAATCGAAAGCCTGGGGGTACATGTGAAAGCGTATCCATATTCTTCGGATAATGATGAAAACCTGCATTAATTTAAACTTGAACAGTACATTCAAACCAAAATAGAAAAACATGAACAAATAATAAGCAATATGATTAAGGTATATTACAAATTTTTTCTCCGGGCTGTGAGAGGATTATGTGCGAAAGTGAGAGAAGACTATATCTTTTACTGACTTCAAAATTAGTTTTGCATATCTAAAGTTCTAATACAAATTTCATATTAATAAAGTATACACACGCATATATGATTAATGTTCTCCTGCTACATGAATAATTTGGATCGTAGTTTAGGAAAAGAATAATATTGCACATACATTAGTGCCAAAATAACAAACCAAATTGTTTAGTTATAGACCAATATTGTAGTATAACTGTGTAAATACGCGATCACACAATAGCTGCAAAGTTTTTTTTTTTTATTTTTTTTTATGTCATGTTCCTATCTTTCAAATAAAATATGCACCATATGATTCTAGTACAAAAAAAAGCATCACGTAGCGGGTATATATGAAGGGTAGGAACTTGAGATCACAACTACTTTCAATCCTGTTGACTCTTACAGTGGAGTACTATTCGAAAGAAGCCTTCTATTTTCTAATTGGTTCCACAGAAAACAAGAAAACGGAGAAAACCCAATGTTACAATGATTAAGAAATCTTATGTCGAATGGCTAAAATACATAGCATATGTATATAAACCTAGAGAATTGATAAAAATAAATAGATATACGTAAAGCTAGAGAAGAACCCTAGGGGCAAATTAATTAAGAATTCTGACAAAAAAGGGGGAAATCAAAAGAAAACCTAAAACTTACCAAATTAGAGAAGATATCGTCCTATAAAATCTCCCCTCGTCACCAGATATTGTTAAGAGAGATTATGGGAGATTATGCGAAGGAAACCAGTTGGCGTGTTAATTAATCTGTTAATCTGCTACCAATTAATCTACGGTTCTACCTTTTGTTTTACCGATTATAAAACATGGCAATAGATTCTTAACAAACAACAAGCTAGATACTTATAACATTCAAAATGGGAGACAATTAGCAAGAAGAATATTTTCATTAACAATCAATAAATTATTACAAGGCCATGAACTTGGTATTACTAAATAAAAGCCAGCACCTAGCTAGGAGTACCGGAGAACAAGATCAAAAAAGAAAATTAATATGACTCGCCATCAAAGCATAAGGCTACTATTATATATTGGTGGTGAGATGAAGAAAATTAGTGTTGTAATATCTTGATGAACTAATTAACTGGTTTTTTTTTTTTTTTTTTAAAGACATGATGTTCTCACTGTTACATGTAAATCAGTTTAACATTGTAAACACTGAGGCATCATCCAGTTTAACAAAAAATATATCTGTTGAACTGAAAAATGTATTCACAAAATTTACCTATAAAAAAGATACGTTTAATGAAAAAAAAAGTTGACCTTAGATTCAATTACATAAAAAAGAAGATGTGAAAGAAAAACTGTAGTAATTAATTGCATGATAAATTACAGAATACAAGATTTTAGTGATATGGAAGACCTGGGATCGAAGCTATTATTTTATTTTACTTCATTCGATCCATAGATAATGGATGATGATTAGTATAATCTTTTTCTTTTTCTTTTTTCAATCGATCAGCCCATAATAAAAGGTCATTTAAAAAAAAATTAAATTAAATTAAAAAAAAAAAAGCCCCAAACACATATAAACACATATAAATTAGAGATGCGTATTAACCATACGCAAAATGGCTCCTTGTGTGAATTGAAAAAAGATAACACATTCAACTATAATTCATGTAACTAAATCAACTATAATTCATGTAACTATCTGATGATAAAAAATAAAAAAAACAACGTTAAAAGAATAGTTACCATATATCCAGAAACAAAATGATTATGCATGTAGGACTCCTTTTAATGATTTTGTTTTCTAATATTCCAAACAAATTAAAAAAATGAATTTTTTTTCATGTAACCAATATGGTATGACATGTTATAGACAGTATAGATCCATATTGTATAAGGAAATGAAAACTCCATCAAGTTGATCAAAAGAGAGAAGACATTTTGATCACTCGGGTAAACCCAGTATTGAAAGATGTTAAAAAGCTCGATGGAAGATATTACTAATCAAAGAAGACTAATGTTTTTCCACATGTTATAATATTTTGCCAAGTGTTAGCTATATTATATATATATATATATATATATATATATATATATATATATATAAATGAAGCACACACATCACGAAAATTGAAAACAACCAGATCGATCGATTTATGCCATTCCATAGCAAGAGAAACATGATCACCCTACAAAATAAGCTTTAATACCAAATAATTCATGATCATTCAATGCATTTACCAGCAGTGATCGCACCGCAGATGGAACCATTAGAACAAAGAAGATAAAGCAAACCCAAAAGAAAAATGAAGAAGAAGAAGAAGATGATGATGATGAAGAAGGAGGAGAGAGGACGATGTAAAAACCTTGGTAATCTGGTACACAGTGACCCTATGGAAGTTAGAATTGCTGCACGCAGATCTGGTTGATGAACCATAAACCTCGTATCCAATCACCAATCAGCTTACAGAGAAGGCGACAAGACAAGAAAAAGCAAGGCTTTCTTTCGTCACCCTTTAACTTTTTGTTTGTGAAAAATCCCACTGAAGCAGACAAAAAAGGAGCACAGAAAGAAAGGAACAACAGACAGCAAACGAACAAACAAACAAACAAAACAAGAAACAAAGAAAGCAAATCCTTGGGAATTGAACTAACTGATCCCCCCTCCGCCTCCAAACTGCTGTTGTACTTAGTCCGAGAGAGAGAGAGAGAGAGAGATCGGATCCGGAGGAAGTGAAAATAGGGAAGGGAAGGGTGGAGTATAGCTAGGAAAGGAAAAAAGGAGAAGAAAGTAGAGTTAAATAAGAAGGAAGCAAAGCATATATTAACAAACAAAACACATGCCCTAATAATCTTTTATATCCCTCTCCTCAAATGTACATTATCTCTCTCCTTATCTTTTCAGAGTCTCTGTGTGGGATGGTGGATGGGTGGCTTGATTGCTGCAAAAGCTTTGCCCGAGAAAAAAGGGAGGCGCTCAAATGGCTCAAGAAATTGAATAAAATCAATCAATGAATATCGAGAGAGAGAGAGAGAGAGAGAGAGAGAGGGAGGGGGGGTGGTAACCTCCAGAGAGCTTGCCACCCACCAGTGATGGAGACTAGAAGAGAAATTAAAGTTGAGCTTCTTTGACGCTGTCCATCCTATCAATGTGAGAGCGAAAGGAGGAGATTGGAAGGTGAGGATTGGATGGTCTTAAATCTTGAAGAACAATGAAGCACAAAATAACAAAGGGTTTAATTAGTAGTGTCATAAACAAATTAATTGACTATTAGTAATATTGTAGATGATGATGACTGATGATATAAATATATGTGTGGAGATATTTGTAATGAATGGAAGGATGTTTTGGTGGTAACCCCTCTAACCCTCTCCATACCTGGGGAGGCTGTGATGAACTTTCTCTCGCCATAAAGTAACACCTGCCCTAGCTAGTGTACCCATCTCTCTGAGTCTACACCGCGTGATCTGCACGTCCAGTTTAATCATGATACCAAAGTTACCGTCTAGATGATTACCATGAGACTCCGTACTTAAAATGATAAACTTTTCCTAACTTCTAAGTGAGAAAAACTATACTGTATAAACACACATTTTAGCCTTAATTATCTCATCATATATTAAGAAATTTAACTTGTCCAAATGTGTGCCTGTTCTCTTGGTTTTCTTTAAAAGTAAAAAACGGACAAATAAAATAAGCATTGAAAATAACACTCATCCCATATGTGATTACATTCTCTCTTATATTTTAGAACATGCATGCTTGTCAAATGACTTAAAATCAATCTACTGATCATTGCAATTAATGGTTTCTCTTCGTAAAATAACATGTACATGATCATGATAAATATTTAACTTATAAGAATTGCCTCAATATATTAATAACAATATTCAAGTACATGATTTACTTATTACTTGAATGTGATTTTGAAAAAATTTAACATTTATTAGATGAATTATTCACTTTTTCAATAACGATAAACATGTATTAGATAAACAAGCAAAATACAAGGCCATCCCGTTACAAAGGAAAAAAATAATAATTTCACCCAAAAAGTGCGAATAAATTATTGCCACAGCTCGGGAAAGAAAATTTTTTAAGGTTTGGAAAAAGAATTAATAAAATCAAATCAAATATTTTAGTATTATCCTCCATTCACCAACAAGTGCACGCGGACTCTGGTTGGTTGGTACGCAATTGTTTCTACTTTCTACTGTATTTTATTTCTTTATCTGCCCTCATAAACTGGGCCCCACAGACCGACCCTGGATACGACAATAGCGACACCTCTCCAAATACATAATATTAAAAACAAAACGATTAAAATAATTGGCTCCAATTAGCTCGGCTCCGCCACTGCGCCGGTGAATAACGAGCAACGTGACAGCGTGACAGTTGAGTCAGCTGGGTTGTGTTTCTGTGTTTCTGTGCCTGTGGTGGTGGAAGGTGGGCCCAACATATGGAATGATGCCCGGAGTTCAGTACGAGGCGGCTGATTTCCGGCGTGGGCTAGCCCCACGTTCATTAGGTAGTGTTTGGTACGCAGACGGAACGGGATGAAACAGATGTTCTGTATTATGTTTGATACGCGCAGGATGGAACAAGACAGTTGTTTCATCCTGCGTTTGGTAGCGCATACACGAAACGGAACAAAAAAATTAAAATGACGAAAATACCCATGTTTCATCTGTTGTTTGATACAATTTTATGCGCGAAATGGGACAAGACTCCTTTTCCTTTTTTTTTTTAATAAGTTGTTTAAATTTGAACACTATTATCCATTATTTGTTTTTCTTGATCCAAATTTTAATAGGTATATGTTGTGTTCCACGTGCAAACTCCTTTAAAATTTGTAATTTTTAATCTCCTAGTTTTCTACAGCTCCATTCG